TTCCCAGCAAAGATCAGAACCAGCTGATCCTGTTTGGCTTTGAACCTCCTGGAAATCTCTTCTTTGAACTGGAAAACAAACAGAGCATTTTTCAGACCAGAAGGGCCGAGACCAGAAATGTAAAGCTCCAGGGATCAGATCCACCCTGGGAACAGCACCAGGGAGTGACAGGCCCCCAGAGCCCATGTACCTCTCAGGCACCAGTTGCTGAGGATGTCTGAGGTGTTTAGGAAAAAAGAAAACAAGCTCTGCACTGACAAAACATGGAGTAAATCTTGGAAAGAAGAGAGCCTTCCCTTGGGAAGAGCCGAAGGCTCCCAAAGCCAGACCAAGTGTGTCTCAGGCCTAACCCAAACACACCGTTTATTCTGAACGACTGAACTGGTTTTGCCTCTGCTCATTTGAGCTTTTTTTCCTAAGGAAAGCCCAGCTCTGATTCAATACAGGACAGAGCTCTATGGAAAAGGGAACAATCCTTTATCAGCCAATGGAAATAAACTAGGTCTTCTCCAATTCCTATTTCTGCAACCGAATTCCCAGTGAGCTCGCCACGGAGCACGGGCATCTCTTCCTTACTGTGTGGTGTGCTGGGATTAACACCTGCCAACACCACTGTCACTGCTGGCCCCGCCGGGGCATTCCCACATTGACTGGGAGGAAACAAAGCCTTGCACTTGGAAGCCACAAACTACAGGGGATTCAGAGGGGAAGGCCAGCACAGAGTGCAAAGCACATGCCTGCCCCAGAGCTCCCAGCCTTCACGCCAGAACCCTAAAAACAAGGCTGGGGAGAGCACAGCCCCGGCCAAAGGTCACCCTGGCCCCACAGCTCTGTGCCTTCCCTGCACAGCTCCATGTCCCTCCCCACACAGCTCCAGGCCCCTCCCTCGCACAGAGGCCTCACTCCACACCCCCTGTACCCACAGGCTCCCATGGGGGGAAGGAGCAGGAGGGCCACACGTGCACAGACCGTGCCCACGCCATGCCCTGCTGCCCAGAGATTTCCTGCCACGTCCTTCACAGGCCGACCTCATGCCCTGTGCCCGACCGGCGTGCGCCGCCAGCCCCAGCTGTGCCGATGACACCTTGTCCCAGTGGGCACTGCCACTTCCATGGCGCTGGGGCCGGCCCCGGGGCCGGCCTTTGCCAATCCCGGCCTTTGCCAATCCCAGCCCCCTCCTGCTCCCTGGCAGGAGCAGAACTCCACCAGCCCACCCTTGGAAGGGCTGATGCTCCTCTTCTTCCTCCCCATCCAACCCTGGCCCCAAACACCCGCCCAGCTCCTCTCCCCTCGCCTCCGGGATCCGCCTCCAGGGGGG